GACATACTGAGGCAGAAGATGCTCTCAATCAGCTCTGTAGAAGTTCTTGAGCAACTGAGCGGGGAGTCCAGTCTTTTCAATTTTCTGAGGAAGAAGACTCTTTGTTGGGCCTCCCTCATCAGAAAAGAGGGGTTCAGTGACCAGGTTATCTCCAGGATGTTGTTTATGCACTCCACCACCTCCTTGAACTTGTAATAAGTGGACGCATTGTCCTCCTAGTACACTATGACCTCCTTGGTCTTGCTGGTGTTGAGCTCTAGTTTGCTCACTGAATACCACTGGGAAAGGTTCTCAATCACCTCTCTGTGCAGAGTCTCATTGTTGTTTGTTATTAGACCCACTACAGTGGTGTCATCTGCAAACTTTCGAACCACTGAGTAGATGGCTACACAGTGTAAAAAGAACCAGACTAAACACACAGCCCTGCGGTGTGCCTGTTTTGAGGACTAGAGTGGATTATATTTTGTCCCCTATTCTCTCCATCTGAGGCCGGTTAGAGAAAAAATCACTGATCCAAAGGCACATTGATGTTGAAAGTCCCAGATCATGGAGCTTCACTGTCAGTGTCTCTTTAATAATAGTGTAAAATGCTGAACTGAAGTCAACAAATACCATCCTAGCAGTGCTACACAGTACACAATTTCATCCATCATTTTTGCCCGTGAGTTATAGTGACTCTTTATCAGCCTATGCCTACAATAATATAAGAAATTTTCTCATAAATTTCAGGTGACATCTCCAAAGCAGCTAGGCTGGAGTGCCAGTTACATACCTGGGAGGCCATGTTTCTCCGTGGTGCATTCTGTCACTGCTTCGAACTCTATCTTCAAGTGCTGATTGGAAAGTCACTCAAGCGCTATATATTATCAATCCAGCATTATTCTTTAGTCTCACAATGGCATCCATTATTCTGATTTAATGTTCTTATTCCCTTCTGATCTTGAAAAAAATATTTTGAACCGCTAATGTTTTACTCTAAAAATATTCCAAAATCCAACAGAATTTGAACCAAATCTAGGCATACTGCTCAGCATTCTTCAGAAGTTAAATTAAAATGAGAAGGATTTTTAACTCCAAACTGTAACTCATTTCAAATAACCACTGCCACAATGAAAACTTATACAAAATGTCAAGGATTAAAGCAGAGACAAAACCTTTCTAACACAATCACTGTTATGATTCTAAGTTGTCTTATCATACAGGAAAATATTCTCAAGGACTGAACTACAGACAGAAAAAACTGCAGTTTGATAGAGGACAAGCCAGGTAACAATTTTGGGGCTAATGTCAAAAGTTCACTGTTTTAGAATTACAATATTATTAGAACATAATTTTATGACTAATCAAAATCTTCTGGTAAGATTTTGTCCTTGTTAAAGAGTTGACTGTAAAGAAGTCTTGTAGATTTTTTTAAGCCTCCAAAATGAGCCAGCCTGAACTGTTATTGTACTGTAGGCCTTATATCTCAGAATTTCCTGGTGTTATTTTGGATGCTAAAATATTTTCTTGTGTTACATATTGTTTTGTAATATGAGTTTCTGTGATGTTATTGTTGGTAACTGTTCTCTTACCTGTAGTGAAAAAAGATGTGGAAACTAAAATTCTTAGTGTGTTGAAAGCTAATAAGCTAGTTAGACAGTTGGTGTGTTTCAGCTAACTTTAGAAATGTAAACAATGTAACCTGAAAATGTTTACAAAGGAAGGAAATAAAGGGGGGATGATAGCGAATGATAATAGTCCAATTTAGTTTTATCTGGCGGGACACTTTTGGATTTTGTGCCAGACTATCAATATTGCAGTAGCATTGAGGATAGCATGTTCCTGTGCTTTTCATGTCCTTTACACTGTAAAACATTTGAAGTTGGTTGAACTGCAAAATGAAGCTGCTGCCTTGAAAACGCATTTTAAGTCAACATGAAAATTGTATTGGTCTTAACTCAGAAACTAAAGTTCATGAAGTTAATTTAACATCAAGAAACAAGTGTATAATTTTTTAAAATTAATTAATGTTGAATTGTGAATTTTAACTTAATGCTTACTGCTGTTTTTTTTCTCTGAAGAGTTTTTAGTGGCGCTAGTGGCTTGCATTTTTTCAACAGTAGGCTGACAGGAAGGAGGGCAGCGAAACGGGGGAAGACATGCGGCAAGGTCACCGGGCCCGGGAGTCGAACCCGCGACGTCCGTGTCAAGGACTGAGGCCTCCAAGCATGGGGCGTGCTGTGGTGGCGCATGGGGTTAGCATGTTGCAATTTGAACCAAATAATTATTTCAAAATATTCAAGAAAAAAAAAAACTCTCCTTATCTTGCACACATTTCTCAAGTTAAAATAACTACTTATTTTACTTTGCCTTATGACTAAGATTCTTGTTTAAAATTGCATGAACAAAATTTTATGAATTTTATTAAAAATCACAATGAATTCAGCTCAAAAACATGTGATGTTAAGGGTTAGGGTTAGGGTTAGGAAATTAGGCTAGGGTTTGGAAATTGTCAGTTGCATTAAAGTAAACATTAATAACACACAAAAGCCAGATCAATGTAACACACTTCCATCTCACTTAAAAATCATGCCATGAAGCACACTTGGAAATAGTTCCCACTCCCTTCTTTTTCTTCTTTCATTTTTTAAGTGCTGACCAAAAAACTCTGTTTTATTCAACTCTTGGAGGTTTGACAAAATGAATAACACAACTTAAGTTTATTCTTCACAGACTCACATTTAAGTTCAAAATCTGAAACTCACGTAATTTATTTCACCTACAAAGTAGAAGATAGCAGACACAACTACGGTAAATGCGGCTCAAATGTTTTATGGTGAGGTTGTTTAAATCTTATCTTGAAGATTATCAGATCTACTAAATCATTTAATGAGGAATACTGACACAGCCAGAAACAAAAAAGAAACAGATCTATCACAACTGATGTCGTAATTTCACAAGCATTTCAAGTGTTTAAGAAGAGTTTTAAATTAAATCAGTACAAAATTGGAATGTTTCATTCATTGCCACTGACTGTGGTATTTGTATGGATGTGTGAATTCTGTCTTGACTTTCTTTGACTATTCATCAAATTTTCCATGTGGAAAAATAAAAAAACTAAATTTAACTGAACTGAAAGTTAATGCATGATATGGACAGAAATTCTCTCTAAATACTATATTTACCATGTTGATAAATTTATGTGTGCGTATTTATGTTCACACATAAATTCTATTTTTATGTGTGAACAGAGCTGTGTTCTGTTCACACATTAAAAGTGAGTCAGTCATGTTCTCAGCTTGTGTCTCTGTGTTGTCTTACGTACATAACCCGATGGATGTCAACAGTGCATGATGATGTCATCAGGCGATGTGGTTAGATGCTGCCAGCAGCGCTCCAGAATACAAAATCTATGTTCCAGCATGCAAGCAGGAAATACAGAGTTACCTAAATCTGGAGAGATGAAAACTGATGAATCTTTGTTCTATAAAATTAAAGCAGATGCCAAATCATGACTGTCAGAAAACATCTGACTAATTATCTGATAATCCCAAAGGCTTGCATACCTGTGCGACTGTTCATTTTGTCTCATCTTTTTGAAATATCTTAGTCTGCAAGCAACACTTGCATTAAACTGCAATGTTTTGGGTTCTGTATTTCCATTCACAAATCTAAAGGTTTGGTCTTGTCTTCTATATTCAGATGCCAATGTCTATCCTACCAAACCTGTTATTTCTTGAATCATCAATCGATGTCAATATCAGAAGAAACGTGGCAATCCACAATCAAAACTTAAACAAAAACAAAGGCTTGCCAGTTGTATCTTAGTCTCACCAACATGTAAACAGTCGGTAGTTCAAAAAGAAAACACACAAATCCAGTGTGAAAACTGAGTGTGTGTAAAAGGGCAATGATGAATGAAATGTTATCATAGTATTTTTATTTTTTCAAGAGTCCATAGTTCCTCAAATAGACATGAACGGAATCCCTGGAAATTGAGAAGCTGTCAGTAAAACACAGACACAACAGTGAGGTTCACCAGCTCTCCAGATAGCATCAACCAAACTTCTCTCACATCCATTTTCATCTGTAGACCAAATGACAGTCAGAACCTGTGGAAATGCACTGGTATTTATGACATATTAATTTTAATGTCAGTTTCAGTTTTCTTTCATATAATTCTGTATTTGCATAACAGTGATTTATTTAAAACAGTTATGCAGTGAAATAAATCTTAATCTTTTTTCTATTGCGTGTTGTTTTTTCCTGTTTATCTTTTCTGTGTGACTGATCTCTGTTGTCCAAGTTATCAAACAAATATCTACCATGAAAGAGTCAACATAATAAATAAAAACACGTTTCCAGCTTTTTTTATCTAAACAAATAGAGCAGCAGTATTGCATAGGACCTAATATATTGTCAATAAAAATATTACAATGTCAACATGACTTCCCTTAATACAGACTTAGACTCTGATCCTTTTATCCAAACATTCTGTCATTTCAGTGAGGCAGAGGTCAATGTGAAAGTGTTGACATATGTCCACATGACAAAACGCTAAATTGAAGAATTAAAAATAAAAATATCAATCTTCTTACATACTGCAACATGGCTAAGCAAGGAGCACACACTTCAAAGTACCAATACTCTTAAAATCCCCCTTAACACACAAACATCCATAATCCATACATCACTAGAACACACAAACACATTAAACCAACAAACACATCTTACATTATTAGCAAGTTACAAATTGTGAAGCTTTTCAAAGCTTTTTGATTAATCATATATTCATCTCTTAATCCAGCACCTCTCCAATGTGACAACTTTCTGACTGCACAACGTTCCAATTACAGATGTTGCTACGCTTCAATCAGTGCCCCCTGCACACACTCCAACTAGTTTTCAGAAGTGAGAGAAGGAGAAAGAGTGTGTAAATCTAGAGAGGAGCAACACGTCTGAGCATGAAAACACACAGTGAAACTTTCAGAGGCACAGAGGAGAAATTAGAAGTAGCTCACCAAATCTCAGGACGTGTGGCATCCCATGAGCGCAGCCCACACAGTGTAACAGCAGCAGCAGCAGCAGCCTTATGGTGTGCCTGAATCTCGCTTTAAATATCAGGAATGAGGAAATCTTCATGGTGCTTGTGTGCTGCACAAGATTGTATTCCACGAATTGGTAAATTCCCCAGACTTTATATCTGTCACGCTTTTAACATTTATTCGGATTGGAGTAGGATCACGGCATGGTCTACGCCGGGCGGAACAACGGCTTTTTCACATCCATTTGACGGAAAAAAGAAAAAAAGATCAGTGCGAGTCCGGCTCACTGCGCCAAGAAGAAACAGCCCTCGGACTCAGCTGAGGAAGATGATGGTGGCGGGGCATCCATGTCAGGCAGGGCAGGGCTTCAACAGCTCCATTTGCTGAAAGAAAAAGGCAGAGATAGAGGATGAGAGGGCGCTGATCCAGTCCGAGCTCTTCCTACTGCACTGCCGCACATAAAGCTGACGTCGTGCCAACACTAGTGGAGTGAGAACGCACAGGACGGACCGGGCATGTTTCTCGATTACAGCTGGTCACACTGCGTGCTTTTTCTCTGCATTCCCTGCTGAAACTGACATGCCTGCCCTCAACTCCTGTCTCTCCCCTTCCTTCCTGTCTTCCCTCTGATCCTGTATCCCAGCCACCTAGCCTCTCAGATTCTCTCCCGGCTTCACTCGCTGTTGTCGGCAGCGGAGCGCCGCTCTGCGCAGCCTTTAAAAAGTAGTAAATTGATGGCTTTGAAGTGATAGTCTCTATTTGATCGATGTCACTGAGGCGTACGGACTCAACCTGGGTCAGTTTGGCTCAGGATGATGAAGAGGTATTTCAGCACAAATTTTCTTTCTTCTATATTATTTTTAGATTATTTTAGTCAGATAGAGACGAACAGGGAAGACTAACTTTTAATCTTTTATTCATTGGCCGACCCTGAAATATTTTTCAAGTTCGGTTCTGATGTTTCCAATTTATTTTCCAATTACTAAAACAAGAATAATTTGGTTCAATAAAATAAATGTTTGGCCTTCAGATATAAGAATGGAATTTTTCTCTGAGTTTTTTTCTGAAAACAGTTTGTTTGAGTTTTCTTGAATTTTCTTTATTTTGGGGGAGGGGCATAATTTGCGAATTAAAAGCATTTCTAATATAACAGTAAGGGAAAAGAGGAAAGGAAGGCGACTGGCATTTAATGAAAATTGTCAAGCATCTTCAGCAACAATTCAAAGATAATCTGATTTGATTAAAATTAAATGTGGTAGGGTATAATTTTCAACACTATAGTAAGAGATCCAGTGCTTTAATGCACAAACAGCAATTGTAATAAATAAGCAGAGGCTCAAAATTGTTTTCAGCACCACGGACAGCGATTAGTTTCTGTTTTAGCGACACAATTAACACTTTAACACTTTCTTCTTTGCTCTACCATCTCCCTCTGTCTATTTAGATTCGCAATTAGCTGAGACGCATGAAAGAATAAATTAATAATGAGCTGCTTCTCCACACTGTCTGCATCCATAAGAGTAACCATGTAGGATGGCCAACACCCAACTTACCTCCCAGTCTAAATCTAAAATATATTTTTCAAACTTAAAATGAACAGAGTAAATATTAGGCACAGGCCGAAAGTGAAATACGCATTTTAATGCCATATAAATACAAATACAATGAACCACTAAATCTCGTACACTACACGGAGAAACTTTATTGATTTGTTTCCCTAACGTTTATTTCGCTACATATTTAGATATTTTCAAAGGTTGAATATTAGAGTTTAAAGTGATGACATAAATTGTTACCTTTTATTAGATCAGTAATTTAAAGCAGTTTAACCAGCACTACGGGAAAGCAGAGTTGGAGCGAAGTCAAAAAGGAACATGATCACCTTTGATCAGTTTTAGTAATGGCTAAAAGCTTTCTGCAGCTGGCATGAGTTGAAAAAAAGAAAAACGTATTTAAAAGGGAGACGGATGGTTTCTAGAGCCGTTTCTTTATGCATGCTGCCACATGGAACTGGCCTCTTTCCTCAATCAAAACATCTGCGCTGTATTAAGTTCCTTTAACGTTTTCTTTGGATGCAAATTCAGTTGTCATCAAACTGTTTCATCTGAGGAGCAGAAGGAGTCCAGAAAGCGTGCCTTTCAGAGCGGGAGAAGTTTCTACTTTAACTCTGACACCTAAACTGGACCGCACACGAAGTTCAAACCCAGAGAGTTTGAACTTCGTCCTGGAGGCGATGTGGAAAGGTTTCTATTTGCTGACTAGAAAACGAAAAGAGTCGTTTTTCTAAACATATGTGATCCGTGAAGGTATGCATATAGCCTACATGTAAAGTTAAAAAAAAAAAAAGAGTAGAAAGGGAAGAACGGGCTTACCTTATATACAGCTGGCGAAGGGAAGTCACCATAGCAGCACAAAGAAGTTGACTTGTTCCTATGAAGGAACCGGATCCCAGTTGCAGCTGGCAACGCTGAGCTCCGACTGAAGGGGAGACACGCCTCCTGTTGGACGGTAGGACGCACGGCTTAAAGCAACAGGGAGCTCCAGGGAGACGCGCTGAAACTGGGTCTGCTGCTGGATAGACTGATTCGGGGTGACGCAAATACAAAGATTTCAAAATCAGAATTAGTTTATCTAAAGTTCACATGGGTCAAGTTTTTATATTATTGTTGTTGTTGTTGTTGTTGTTATTATTGTCATCAGTAGCAGCAAATAGTAAGTGTTCCGGTCGATTTTTAAGAAAAAATGTCACTCTCAATACGTTTGACTGTGGGAGGGGAGAAAAGGCCAAAGAAAAACACACACTTAATCCGAAAAGTGCTTCAAAATGCAAAGGACAAACCCATCAAATGTTCCTCATACGGCCATAGTTTTACTGAATATGGACTGTGTGTGTGTGAGTGTGTTAATGTGTTGCAGTCTGGATGAATGTCAGGTTAATCCTTGCAGCCTGGACAGAACCACTGGAATATCCAAGCTTTTATGAAATCATGCTTTTATCAAATCTATACAGCTGATTTTTAGATGAGTCACAAATATGAGAAGGACGCGCATGTGTACAAATTTGCAATCACGTGCATGTGTCTGCTTTTGTCTTTTGTTTTTCCATCAAACCAGATAACAACGTAAAAGAGGTTTTGTCTCCAAGGTCTCATTCGGGTTCAGCTGATCATGTAAACAGGGTCGATATTAATCTGGACACGTCACATATCAATTATTTGATATAAATTAAAAGTTTGAGAGAAACTCAATATCACCTTATATTTACAGTTCTCATTCCATTTGATATCAATAATCCAGATGGCTGCACATGTTTCAAACAGATAATAAAGTGTTGATATCTGTTCACAGGTACATTGTTTAAAAGTACAAAACAAAAAGCTAAAAATAATTATTTGTCCCTGTTAGTGTTAGCCTTAATAATTTAAAAGAGACTTTTAAAACTTATGTTTTGTGTATTTATTAGCTTATTTAAAACTGGACAATCTGCAAAAAATAAAAATAAAAAAAGTCCTCATATATATATTTTTTTATTTCTGTCAAATGTATTTGCAAAAATATGGTCTTGATAACATATAATTTTTTGTTCTTTGCAAATCTAGCACTATTTGGAAAACAAACAAACATGAACCAGAAAGGACTTTTGCTATTTGTTTGTTCTTTTTTTATCCTAAAGTAATATCAATCAATCTCCATTAACAAATCAACATCCAAAATGTACAAGGAGTTATAAAAGCTGGAGGGAGAGGATACATTATATATCACAGAGAAATGAGAGAAGGTAAGGAAATTTTATTTACCTACATTTTCAGCAACATGGCAATACAAAGCAAAGGAAATCAAAAGAAGAAAAAGCCAATGTTACGTCCACCAGCCTCATTTGGTAGGGCAACATTAAAGGAGACCACACTAGGATTTTCTGAATTAATTAAAATTGAATTTCTTAAATTATACAAAAAAAAAAGAAAAACGAATACTTGAAATGAGAAACCAAAATAGATTAATGCAAACCCATTTGCATTAAGTAAACGCAAAAGAAACCTAACAAAACCTAACCATAAGATACAAACTAAACCAAATAGAGTTTTGAGGAGGGAGAGGGGAAAGCCTCCTGTCTGCTGCATGCATGGTAGCTTTAAAGCAGCAGAGCACCAATCAGAGCAAAACATAACAACTGCAGAAGGCCTGCCTCCAGAAGCCTGCGGGGAAAAAGGGCAAAGACCCACTGCAGCCGTAACACTAATAATATTGAACCAAAATAAATAAACTAGATACTCCTATTCAGGATTGGTAGATAAGTATTAGTAAGTATCCTCTGGTCTAATTCCTTTTCTGGTTTGAAAGAATAAGAGTCTAAAAAGTAGTTGCTAATGTAGCTTTTTATGACATGGTGCGTTATCCTGCTGGAAGTATCCATCAGAAGATGGGTACACTGAGTTTCATAAAGGGATGGACGTGGTCAGCAACGATACTCAGGTTGACTGTAGTGTTGACATGATGCTCAATTGGTACTAATGGACCCAAAGCGCAGCGTCTGCCGTGAAGCGGGCGCTGTACCGGTCCATTGTGGTGAAGAGAGAGCTGAGTCAAAAAGCGAAGCTCTCGATTTACCAGTCGATCTACATTCCTACCTTCATCTATGGTCATGAGTTTTGGGTCATGACCGAAAGAACAAGATCTCAGATACAAGTGGCCGAAATGGGTTTCCTCCGTAGGGTGGCTGGGTTCTCCCTTAGAGATAGGGTGAGAAGCTCGGTCATCCAGGAGGGACTCAGAGTAGAGCTGCTGCTTCTCCACATTGAGAGGAGCCAGTTGAGGTGGCTCGGGCATCTGGTCAGGATGCCTCCTGGACGCCTCCCTGGTGAGGTGTTTCGGGCACGACCCACTGGGAGGAGGCCCTGGGGAAGATCCAGGACACACTGGTGGGGCTATGTCTCTCGGCTGGCCTAGGAACGCCTTGGGATTCCCACGGAGGAGCTAGAAGAAATTGCTGGGGAGAGGGAAGTCTGGGCCTCCCTTCTTAAGATTCTACACCCCGGGCCTGACCCCAGATAAATGGATGGACAGACGGACGAATGGATGGATCCAAAGTATGCCAGGAAAATATCCCTCACCCCACTGAACCACCAGAACCCTGATCCGTTGATACAAGGCAGGATGGATCCATGCTTTCATGTTGTTGATGTCAAATTCTGATCTGAAGGTCAGAGCAGAAATCAAGACTCATCAGAACAGGCAACATTTTTCAAATTTTCATTTGTTTAATTTTGGTGAGTCTGTGTGAATTCAAGTTCCTCAAGTAAAAACTGCCTTCTTAATTCTAATTATTTATAGAACGTATTAAACATAAATACACTCATTTAGACTCAAACATGTATAACTAAACTGATCTTGAAATGTCAAGGTTTCAATTTAAGCTCCTTCTGTTCTGCTGTAACGATATTATTTGGCATGTTCAACAAAATCCTGCATCTTATTCTGATGTGCATATTTAACACAACTGGATATTGATATGAGAAAACTACAACTTTACAAAGATTAAAAATAGTTTCCTATGATCAACTGCTTCTCTGTCAAACAACAGCTATGATGCAAAGATGGTTCAATGGTGAAGTAAAAGACCAGGGTCATCTTTTCAAGAACACAATGTTACAGAAGTACAGAATATCTTGATTCCATGGCTGTTGAGCATTGTCTTATGTTTTATACAAGTTAGTCTGAATGACTTGCATGAAGTCATTTATACAGATTGTCATATGGCCGCCCACAGATGGCTCTAGATAAAGTTATGGGAAGCATTTATCTACAGGTGCCTGCTCTGACTGAATTGACAAGTTGATAAAGGCAAAACGTAAGAGAAAGGAAGGATAGTTCTTTTAAAATGTTGTTGGTTAGATGTTTTTTTTTCTTCTCCAAAGAGTTTTTTGCGGCACTAGTGGCTCAAATTTTTTTTTACAGTAGACAGACAGGAAAGAGGGCAAGGAGGGGGGGGAAGACATGCGACAAAGTTTGCCAGGACTGGGAGTCGAACCCACGACGTCTGCATCAAGGACTGAGGCTTCCAAACGTAGGGCTTGCTAACCCCCTGCGCCACCACACCACCAGATAGATGTTTTAAAATACTTTTTGCAATGAAAATAGAGTTTAGCTTAGAATAGCGCAAGTTTACAGTTAAAAAAACAACAACTTCAGACCCAGAGGATCAGACAATGCAACATTGTGTTCTTCTGTAAAACCAGACACACAGTGTAAATGACTTTGAAAAATCAAATGATTTATTTTATGATTTTATGAAGCAACTCAAAATAGCATTGACTTGTCTTACTTTGGAGGAAGCTAAAATGTTTGAGCATATGCTCTTTACTTTGCAAAAGGTCTTCACTATTCATTCAAGTCCAGAATAATTGACTTAAGATGTGAAGTTTTTATTTATTTATTTTTTATTCTATTTCCTTTTCAGTTCAATGAATTACATCAACACTGTTTCAGTAGTGGGCAAATATCAAAGTCAGAACAGAAATCAAGAGAACAAAGTAGAGCCACCAGACAGAAATAACTGGAACAAGATGTACAATTTCTTGGTGGAGGAACACAGTGATGGAGGCTTGATATGAGACCACAGTTTGAAGCTGAAATGAAAGGGATCTTTGATTGCTCCACTCCCCTCCTGCTTCTCACAGTAGCAGGAAGCATGAAGAGTTGCATTGTGGAGGCCACAAATAAATGGTCAATGACATCTCTGTGATCTAACAACCTTTACAATTCCAAATAGGACAAATAGGACTCAGTGAGATAAACAATAATAAGAAAATAATGTTTAAGATAAGATATATAATTAGTATTGACATTATAAATATACAGTCCTCATGGCTTAATAGAATTGATTGATGGTTACCTACTTAAATTCAAAATGGTAAGTGATTGCAATAGATATCACCAGGGCAAATTTACAATGTATAGTCATATAAAGGCTTGATCATTGTAGTAAAAAATTAATAAGAGGTTATAAATATGGATAAGGCTCTGGATTTTGAGCTCCCCTTTTCTTCATTGCAGCCTTCAGGGTATAAGATCTAATCAGCTGTTATAGTTACCCAGAACAATTACATTTTGCTTCATAAAAAAAATCTTAATTTTTAATAAAATCCAGCTGATCATTGAATCTGTTATAACCCCAGTGAAAAAATATATTTCATAAATATATATTTCAATCATATTTACATTTGCCTAAGTAAATTTTAAGTATACTAATGTGTATTTGTCATGTTCTGTGTTTTTCTGTGTTTAATTCTGAGTTTTCTGTGTCCTGGGTTCTCCTCGTTGTCTTGTCTTCCCTTTGATTGTTCCCAGGTGTGTCTTGTTTACTTGATTAACCTCAGTGTACTTAATCCCTCCTGTATCCTTTGTCCCTTGTCGGGTCCTTGTCGTTTGTCTTTGTTTGACGTTGTTGTCACTGCCGTT